ACCTTCCTGCCTCTGTCTCCTGAGGGCTGGGATTACAGGTGTTTACCACCATGTTTAGCTTACCCAAGATTCTCTCTGTGCCAGGCTGGGCCCTAAGGGGCAGAGCGTGTTAGTGTTTTCTGTGGTTTTCAGTTTTGTTTGGTTTGTCTGATGGATGTTTCTGGAAGACTCTGGGAATTAGGAAGCTCAAGTGAGTTCCCTGCATGGAGGCATCATCGTCTTCCATCCCCTTACAGGAACAGGCAAGCCAGGAGATGTGTACCACAGGCATTGCAGTTAACTCCTTAGGGTCCTTAAGCACCCAGGCTTCATCTAGCCCGTAAAACTGCATCCCAGGCTCCTTGTGAAATCCCGATTTATCTTTCCGCTATAGGTGTGCTCACACATTCGTTGGCTTGAATTATTTAAAGTTATCGTGAAAAAGGCCTGATTTCTATTGCCTGCCCGGATTTGCACTTTAAATATAGTCCCCTGTCTCAGTTCACCAGAGTTCGTGTTGAAAAGAGAAAATGACTCTTAAACAGCAGTTTGGCACATAAAAAACATGGTTTGTTTACCTTGGGATATTTCTGCAACTCCACATTAAGGCACTAAAGCCAAATTTTTGGAAATGTTTTCTCTTGCCAAACCTAGGGATCGGCGTGAAAGGAGACAGTGAGCATTGAGCCCCTGTGGCCATTCCTGGGTGCCCCTTTGGCTGGGGGGTTGTGAACTGGAGACGGGACCCTCTTGTCTCCTTCACTCACCTCCTTCGCCCTCTTACGCTCCCCCCCCTCGGAAGTTGCCAGACCTTAATATTAAACTCAGAATGCAGTCAACCATGAACATTAAAAATACAGGACCTCTCGTGTAGACACAAAGCCTGGACGGCAACTTCAGGAACTCCGTGGAGATGTGGCACATTCCGCGTGCAGGGCTCAGACTCCGTCATTTTACACTGCGAATTATTCAGCCTCTGTTTATATTTACATTTCATATATTCTGCTTGCTCCTCTGATTAGCATACCCCAAATCTGCAGTGCGTCAAAATGCTGAAATTAAAAAAAAAAAAAAAGAAAAACAAAAGCAGTGGCCTGTCTCCTCCCACTTTGTGAAAATGAAAATCTTGGTTCTATTAATATGGAGACCTACTTTAAGACAAAGAGTTTAAGACCTTCACACTTTAGCTATTGAGAAATTGTCTTTGCTTTGGTAATACCAGGTTAATATTTATTAGGATTGCTGAAGTAAATGGACATTTTTAAAAAACCTTATTTATTCCGTTTTTTTTTTTTTTACTCTTTTAACCCATTTACACCAAGAAACCTGGATTTTGTTGGGGGGGGGGAATTCTGCAAATGACTCATCATTTTGTGCTTTGATTTGCCTATAAAATACATTTGGTGCCTTCACGATTTTGTTTGTTCGGTTTAGATTATAGAAAAATGTCAGGACAAGGGAGGAGTGGAAAGCAATGGCCATACGGTGTCGCTTTAAGTATTATGTCATCTCTGCTGTGGAAAGAAAGAGATTTTAATTTCACAGTAGAGTGATGGAGACGGTGACATGCTTTTTATTTTTGAAGGATTTTAAAAAAGTCTAGGTCCGTGTGTTTTGGGATAGAGACAGAAGTGAACACTCAGCCGTCTCTGCAGGAAGGCCTGGCGTCTCCGTCTCCGTCTCCGTAGGCAGGATCTGTGGGGCGTGCTTGGCTTATTGGCGGTGTGTCCCCTGATGTGTGACTCTCATTGCAACAGTGACACTGGCAAAGATTAGCGGCTGTTAAAGGGGAGGCTCAGCACTGGGGCCTCCTAGAACCAGGGTAGAAAAGAGGCCCTCCCTCAGTCTGCTGTCTCTTCTGAAGCAGGCGACACCACCCCACAAGTCATAGCCCACCGGCTTTGCAGACAAGTCAAATGAAAGAAAATTCCAGGTATTAGATGGTGCCTCCGGACCTCTTAAATGAGAAAGTTACTTTATTTAATAATAGGCAATGATAATCAAGATGGTCTAGGTTCGAAATAAGAACTGATTCCGGTAGAGGGGAGCTCTCCCCACCCCCCAGTGCTGGGGATTGGGTTTAGTTGTGTGTGTAGTGTCTGCAGAGGCCAGAAGAGGGTGTTGGATCACCCTGGAACTGTAGCTCACATGATTTTGAGCTGCCAAGTTGCCAAGTGGGTGCTGGGAATTGAACCTGGGTTCTCTGCAAGAGCAGCTAGTGCTCTTAACTGCTAAGCCATCTCTCCACCTCTCCTGCACCATCCTCTCTCTCTCTCTCTCTCTCTCTCTCTCTCTCTCTCTCTGTCTGTCTCTCTTTCTCTGTCTCTCTCTCTCCATCCATCTATCACCTATCTATTCATTTATCCATCCAGACTCTCCCTATGTAGTCCTGGTTGGCCTAGAACTCACTATATAGATCATACTGACCTTATCTTTCAGACATCCACTGTACTCTTCCCCTTGAATGCTGAGATTAAAGGTGTATGCCATCACATCCCCCCAAAGGACAATTTAAAATAAACTGCTGTAGCCTGACCACAGTTTCTCTAGTCTATTAGTTCTCAGCATTGATTTTCCAGAGTCCTGTGGTGCCAGCTGATGTTAACATGTGACCATGCATGATGTTTCTTGGTTTCTTTACTGGTATTAGAGGTTAAACCCGTAACCTCGCACATGCCAAGCACATGCTCTCCCACTAGGCTGGTTGCCCAGCATCTAAATTTACTATATAATTCTGGTTTTGATATCTCCTTGAGGGTTGAATGAACTAATTAATTAAAATATTTGATTTTCTTTTAACTATGTGTATATGTTTGTGTCTGTGTGTGGATTTATGCAGGTGTGTGTTCAGGTGCCAGTGGGGACCCGAAGAGGGCACCAGATCCCTTGAAGCTCGAGGAATGGGTGGTTGTGAGCCACCTGACGTGGGTGCTGGCAATCATGTCCTCTTTAAGAACAGTAAATGCTCTTACCTGGTGAGCCATCTCTCCAGTCTCCTCCTTGAGTGTTTTTCAATGTGAAAATCTCTTGGGAGCAAATGAAATAAGATAAACCCAAAATATTAAGTACCCAGAAACAGGACTTAAATGGTATTTGTGTTAAATCTCTGTTCTACTAATGATGTGTGCCTTGGTGTGTCTGTGTGTGTGTATGTGTGTGTGTGTCTCTGTCCGTCTGTCTGTCTGTCCATCTGTCTGTGGCTTGAATAAAATGCTCCTGATAGTCTCAGCCTGTAGGTGTCGCTGTTTGAGAGGCTTATGAGGTGTGGCCTTGTTGGGGAGGTGTGTCATTAGAGGTAGGCTTTCAGAATCTTTAGTCTCTCACCCTTTGCACTCACGGTCTACCTGTGCTTGTGGTTCATAACGTGAGTCTTCAGATTCCTGTTCCAGCCACTACACATATTGATTCTCTATGATGGACTCTTCCCCACCCCTGCAGTCATAAGCCCCAAACAAACCCATCTATAAGTTGCAGTTGTCATGGAGTTTTATCAGAGCATTAGTAGAGTGACTGACACTGTGTGGTGGTGTGTGTGTGTGTGTGCAGGTGCATGTATGTGTGCAAAGCATGAAAACATAGATCATATCATGGTGAAAATAATTCGGGGGTGGGCAATGAACTCTCTTCTACCGGATCAGATAGGTGCTGCCTGTGAGGAGACCCCACAGCCACAGCCAACAATGAAGACATTCACTCATGCGGAGCTACTTTTGTGTGCTGTTCGTATCTTAGTCAATAAAATTATGTTATTATGTTGCTGTCTGTGTGGTCCCCAAATATGCATTTCCAGTTGGTGCTGAGTTCTCTAATGAACGGTTGGGCCGAGTGGGGGAGGGCTGAGGCGGCTGTACCGTTTAGGCAGTCACAGGACCTTGTAAGCCATCTTAGCTTATCTAAATTCCACACACTGAGGTCCCTTTGGCTCGTGCTTTAGTTTCAACCCTGCCTTTTGAAATGTCATTCTGGAAATGGAGACGATTAAACTGTGTTAGTCATTTACTTTTTAGCGTGACCATGTCTTAGATGATTTCCTGTGAACAAATGTTAATGGGTAATGCGAGCCAGTGGATGTCTGGGGATGTAGTGGGGAGGGGAGGGGCTAGACAGAGGGACCTGAGTGTGACTGTGTTGTCTCCTGCTTGTACAGTGGCATTCCCCAAGGACCCTCCCGTGATGCTTCTTAAACTACATTATTGTCTTGGTGTCCTAGAACACTCTATGCCACGTGCCTGCCCTGGCACAGTGCCCACCTCCTCTGGGAATCCTGCCTGGAGGACTTGAACCCCCTCCCTGCACTGCTCTCCTTTAACTCCTTAGGAGAAACTCATTATACAGTTCATGGTTGTTTTGTTTCCACCCTTCCTGACTTTTTGGCTTAGCATTTTGCTTCATATTTCCAGTGCTGTGTTGTATTGTTGTTGTTATTATTTTTAATGCTCAGCCTAAGTGTGCCTCTAAGGAGATCTTTGCCTATTTATGACTCGCACTGAAAATGTTCAATCATCCTGAATGGAGGATGATTTTAATTCCTTCAGTCTCCTGCCCTGGAATGTCAGTACGATGCTGCATATTCTCCCAGTGGCTTGTGAACAGCAGCATCTACGATATTAGCCCCGCAGCCCCAAACAACAAATGCACCCCAAAGATAGTTGTGTTGCTTTGACAGGAAAGATGAGGGTAGGAATTTGTACTACCAGCCCTGCCTTCTCAGGAATTTTCTTCAGCTAAGAAGGTATCTAAATCAAATTTTTTTGGTTGTTTATAAAGATTTTAATTGCTCTGCCTTTTCCCCCCCTGCTTGGTAGCCTAGGTGAGCTCATTGATGTTACGGTGATGAGTGCTCTAGGTATAAAATAAAGAAAACCAATAATATGTTTTTGTGGCAATGTGGCTGTTTAAAAAAATGAGCAAAATATATCTTGTTAAAATATTGCTCCCTTATTTTAAACGGAATTGTTGAATGTGAGAATGAACCCAGACTGCTAATTTTAATGTATACATGTTTCTCTTTTTCTTCCTAGCTTTTGCTTTGGTGTCTGAAGAGAAAAAAGAAAAGGTGAAGCCTTCCCAGGTACTAATTATAGCAATCCATTCTGACCACTTCTGCAGCATTCTTTTAGGTTTAATGAGAAATGTAAAGATTTTTATCCTTAGCAGTTAACATGTTTTTTTGCTGTTGTGTGAATTGAGATATTGTTCCGTGTCTGTTTCTGTATGTATATGTGTGTGTTCAGTATCTGCCTCTCTCTCTCTCTCTCTCTCTCTCTCTCTCTCTCTGTGTGTGTGTATGTGTGGTCTATGTGTGGGGGCATGTACATGTGTGTGTTTGGGTGTATGCCCCATATATGTACGGGTGGAGGCCAGCAGTGGATGCCAGGTATCCAGCTCTATGTCTCTCCACTTTATTCCTTTGAGACAGAGTCTCTCCCTGATCCTGGAGCTAGGCTAGCAACCAGAAAATTCCAGCAATCCTTCTATCTCTACCCCCTTGACAGTCTAAGTTAAAGGTGCACATACCCACACCTGGGGATTTGAACTCAGGTCTTCATGCTTGTGCTGAGAGCACTCTTACCCACTGAGCCATCTTCTTCAGCCCTACCCACCTTCATTGGCCTGGGATCTGTCTGTCTCTGCCTTCCCAGTTCTGGGATTACAACAGGTGCCGCCAGACCTGGCTTTTTTTATGTGGGTGTTGAAGACTGAATTCAGGTTCCCATGCTTGTGTGACAAGGGCTTTGCCAACGAACTATGGCTCTGGCTATCAATATGGATTTTGAAGTACTAAGAGCAACCTGTGAATAAATTTGATTGTTTTTGTTATGTGTGGCACATGTGTGTTGTATGCATGCTCACATGTGTGTTCCTCCATCACTCTCCACATGTATATTGAGGCAGGGTCTTTTACTGGACCCAGGGTTCACCTTTTCAGCTAGTCTGGGGAAGTTTTATCTTTTCCTCCCCACGCTGTACCCCCAGCTTTTATGGTCTCTGGGCATCTGTCTCTGCGAGCTCCATGCTTATACTTTATCCAGTGAGCCATGTTCTCGGCCCCAGACTTGTATCAGACACAATGATATAATAGTTCGAACAGACATACTAGTTTCAGTCATTTTAGGAAAAAGTGTTTTGATACAGAGATAGATCTCTGAGAAGCCCTACTTGGGTAGCTTTGTTTTGTCAGGTGTCAGGGTATCCTACCCTTGGCTCCATCTTACGGTCTGTGAGAGGATTCTCATGGGGGTGAGGAAAGTCCAAAACCTGGTTACTGTTGCTTTGAAGATGGAGCCTTGGGGGGAAAACATCCTGAGGACCAGATGAAGGACTCCACAGGCGGCCAAGCTGGCGAATTCCTCAGACACTCAGAACCCAAAGCTGGGCTCAGGGGCTGGGTAGAGTGGGTCACACTTTTGATCACTGATGATGTTGGAGAACTTTATCACCACACACACATACACACACACACACACACACACACACACACACACACACACACACACACACAAGCACCCACTTTAGCTTTGCATGGGGTCAGTTTAACAGGGGAACAGGAAACAATATTTAAAAACCATGACTCATTTTTGTTCTGTTAATCAAGACTTCACTAAGTTGATACTTTACTCCACAATTGGTGTAAGGTCTTTTGAAGACAATGTTTCTTTGATCAACAGAGCATTATCTAACTGCCATGGGATCCTCCAAAGAGGGAAGCAATGCTAAGCATTTCTGACCGTGTTAGGACTCTTTAGGTCTAGTAAAAGCATTTGAACACATTTTATTTAATTTGATCTTTCTCATTGACGCTGGTATTGCTAAGCACAAAATAGATATTCCCAGTTAAACAGGAAATTAGCCTGAAGGCAATTATGTGATTTACCAAGGACACGGGATTATTACAAGTTCAAGTTCAAATGTCTTGAATCCTATATTCTCTGCCTGTACTCCGTTGTAATTATAATGTGTGTGTTTGATAGGATTGAGGCTTGCTCACAAAGAGTATAATGTGCTACGCAAGGGTTATTATCAGAGGATTAAAATTTTGTTTAATGAATTTAGAACTTACACATTAAAATGATTTTTAAATTTCATTTTTATGGATGTGAGTGTTTTGCCTGTATGTATGCATTTTCACCACATGGGTGCAGTGCCCATAGAGGGCAGAAGAGGGCATCAGACACCCTGGAACTGGAGTTGCAGATGATTGGGAGCTGTCATGTGGGAGCTGGGAACTGAAGCCTGATCCTCTGCAAGAGGGTGGATGCTCTTAACCACTGAGCCTCTCCTATCATTTTTATGTGAAGAATTTGCCAACTAAGCATCATGTTTTGGATTGTCACTGTCCAAAGCTCCATGCCTTCAGAAAATGAAACCCAGGTAGAAAGACTGACTTGGTCATGTTGTCATGTCTCGGTAGGGAGCTGTGTGTGGGACAGATGTGCTCATAACAGATATCCTTCTTGTCTGGCTAGTGGTTGATATGCAGCCTTCACAGCTAGCACATTCTTTGCTTAGTATTGATAGTCAGTAGAAGAAACTTGTGGCACTGGAGATCATAAAACAAGGCTTGCACTTTCCTCCTTGGAAAAGCCTTTTCGTGAGGGAAGCGGAAGACAGGATTTTAAATGTTCTGTCAATCTGTTCATTTAGCCCAATTTTCTTCTTCAAAGGGGAAATTACTCAAGACTGTTTTGGTTCTGTTTCAATCTACCCAACTCAACAGCTCCTTGGGTATTTTATTTTTACAGTTTACAGATTGAGTTGTTTGAAAAAGATAATCCTTTCCCTAGCTATTGTGTCAGCCAGTCTGAGCTACAGGTTTAATGCCAACTAAGAAGATACGTGATCCGAGTTGGTCTTCTCTGATGTCACAAAGCTGTGTGGGGACAAGTTCAGCAGGTGTCCAGGCCTGTGGAAACGCTGCTGTCTGGAACCCCTGGGTCTGGATGGGTTTCATCCTCTACCTTGCTGGAGGTGACTCCGGTTGCACACAAATGTGCGTTGTATTGACTGTTTCTCTGAAGACTCCAGGCTGGTGCTGTGGGCAGGCAGGGACTAGGAAGACCCAGGCTTTAATCCTGGGGTTGTGGCCAATGACTTGAGCCCTGGGAAATTCATTTGTGTTTTCTGAGATAAATTATTGTCTTGTCTGGAAAAGGGACATTGGCTGTAATCATCCCCGGTGCGGTTTCTTCATCTAAACATTCTGTTTTCCCACCAACCACACAGCAGCTGGTTCTGTGGCTTAGTAAGAAGAAGTAGGCACCCCAGGCAGGGGACAGGGAGTCATGGTGGGAGCCGGTGGTGTCCTTGTGCACAGCGTGGCTGAATTGAGAGTGGATCTCCTGACCAGGTGTGGCCTCTTGATGTCTGCTCAGACCAGCTTGGGACACTAACCCGGCTGGGAACAGCACCTCCAGAGAAGGGCTTGGACTTCCCAGTCTCAGTAGATTCTTCCAAAGTTAATTGTGTCATCAGGATTTAATGGTTGTTTATCCTGGGATCTGACAGAGCAGTGTCAGCAGGGGCTGCTTCTCTACTCAGTGGCCTTTCCACTCTTGAGGCAAGGACAGTTTCATAAAACGCAGCCCATCAAGTCACATCCCTGCTTTAGCTCTGTCTCTGCTGCGTCTCATGGTCCCTTGGGCATTCTTCGATTCCTCTTTGTGGGTTTGCCTTAGCTTTGAAGCGGCTCCAGATTTTGTTGGTAAAAGCTCACGGCCGTGTTTCTTATTTCAGCCTGTAAGAAAATCGAAGGATGTTGGTAATGTGTAATTGTCATAATTATGGACAAATTATGCCAAAAATGAAAAACTGAGCAATCAGGAAGGAAACTTTGTCTTAGTCTGAAGAGAAGGTACTGGAAATGGCAGTTTGAGCTGTCGACGCTGTACTTTGTCAGAGCAGTTGTGAGTCTCCAGTGAATCACTCAGGGTTAGAATCAAGTTATCTCTGTGACTGTGTCTAGATTCATGTGACCGGTGCTCCCTAGCCCTGAGGCACCCTTCTGTGCCCAAGAGTTCTAGTGGCTATGTGTGTTATTATAACAAAATGCCCGAGACTGAGGGATTTATAAAGAACTGACATTTATTTCTTATCCTTCTAGAGGCTGGGAAGTCCCAGGTATAGGAGTGCAGGCCTGTTGTGCTTGAGCCATTCCATAGCAGAAAGCAGAGAAGGGCAAGGAGCATGCGCCAGAGAGGCTGCACTTGAACTTGACAGTGAACTCACTCCCACAATAGTACTGTGCCTCCATTACCTCTTGAAGGTTGCAACCCCCCTTACTCCTGCCAAGACAAACCCTGACTGTCCTGGAACTCACTCTGTAGACCAGGCTGTCTTTGAACTCAGAGATCTATTTGCCTCTGCCTCCCTAGTGCTAGCACTAAAGTTTGTGTGTCCACAACTCCTAGCTTGGGATGGCATTTTCAACACATGTTTTTGAGACACACATTCAAGCCATTGCAGTTGTCATCATCTGTACTCCTCCAAGACTCTTTGTGGGACCGTAGGGTGCTTTTCAGGCAAGAAAGACTGTGTTAGCATTCTTTTTTAAAATGTCATATTTATTTTTATTTTATGTGCATTGGTATTTTGTCTGGATGTATATCTATGTGAGGGTGTCAAATCCCCTGGAACTGGAGTTACAGACAGTTGTGAGCTGCCGTGTGGGTGCTGGGAATTGAACCTGAGTCTTCTGGAGCCATCTCTCCAGTCCCATGTGTTAACATTCTTTATGACATTTTGTCTTAGTTACTTTTCTATTGTGAAGACAAAACATCACAATCAAGGCAACTTACCGAGGAAAGCATTTAATTTGGGGCTCACGGATCCAGAGTCTATGACCATCATGGCGGGGAGCATGGCAGCAGCTGAGAGCTTACATTTGATCCACAAGCATGAGTCAGAGAGACACTAGGAAGGATTTTTGAAACCTCAAAGCCCATCCACAGAGACACACCTCTTCCAACAAGACCACATCTCATGATCCTTCCCAGCAGTTCCACCAACTGGTAACCCAGCTTCCAAATATAAAGTCTATGGGGACCATTCTCATTCAACACCACACAGCATGTCTGAACTCAGTAGATAAAGACACTAGCAGGGAGACCATTTCATCATGAGGTGGGCCCTGCCAGCATTCTTACAATGTTTTAAAGTTGACAAGGTCTTTAGAAATAACTTTATCCAAAATAGAATTTTATGCAGGAGGAATAAGCTTTTAATCCAGATAAATGACTTGCCTAAGATCACATACAAAGGACACAGCCCAAGCTAGAGACATGGCTCAGGGGTTAAGAGCACTGTCTGCTCTTGCAGAGGACCTGGGTTTGATTCCCAGCACCTACCTGGTAGCTCACATCCATCTATAACTCCAATTCTAGGGGATCTCATGCCCTCTTCTGGTTCCAGTAAGTACTGCACACACATGGTGCACATACATACATGCAAACAAACACTCACACACATTAAGTAAAAATAGAGATTTTAAAGGCACGACGTTATTGCAGAACTTCTGGAGCAAGGCAGATGCTTATAGTTCCTGCTTTGCCTTTTTCTGTTCTAGCCTCCTTATTTTAGAGAAGCATTTTAGCTCCATCCTAAAGTTCTGTCACCATGTGCCAATCCAGATTATTCATCATTATTATTCACTGTGTTGCTAGGTCAGTTAAATGATGGAATTAATCTTTGTTTCTTTCATTTTAAATACAGGATTTGGATCAGAGTAGTCAATCAAGGAAACATGACATAGGTAAGTAATGAACTTTTATAATTTGTATGCATGTGTGGTATGGTAAGCATGCATATGTATATTTGCATGTGTTTGGGTGCACGTGTGTGCATGTGTATATTCACGTGTGTGTGTGTGTGTGCATATGTGTATTTGGGTGTGTATGGGTGCAGGTGTGTATACACCTCTGTGTGTTTGTATATGCGCGTGCGTGTGGTGATGGCCATCTCGTGTCTTTCTCATTTGCTCTCCGTTTTATGCTCTGAAGCAGGGTCTCTCCCTGAACTGCTCGCTCACCAATTTGGTAAGCCTACTTAGCTGTTTTGCCCCAGGCGTTTCTGTCTCTGTCTAATGAGTCTGGTCTTTATGTAGGTTCTGAGGAGCCAAACTCAAGTCCCTGTGCTTGTGTGGCCAGCCCTTCATGCCCTGCATCATCTCCAAGAAATATATTTTTGTTGTTAGCCAAAAGACAGGTTACAGTCCTCCTTCTCCTGTACAGATTTGGTTCCCTGGAGTCATCCATTCTGGCAGGCTTCAGTGAGACCCACTTGCATGTAGCAGGGGCATCTCTTCGTATAGTGGAGGGTTTGCCAGGGTACTGGTGGTTCCCACCTCCACAGGGTTCATGGCCACCCCCCGTACATGTGGCCAGCAATTCCTCTTTGCCTTGCACTTGTGGTGTGCATGGGCAGTGTGTAAGACAGGTTTGTCATTTGTGCCCCCACTGACCACCACACCAACAAAAGCTCTGTTGGCTGAGAAAATGACCTTGGCTCTGAAGGCAGCTTCACTTGGGTCTTGTTGGTCTCCGGTCTGTGGGAGATGACTGGCATAGTTGCCGGAGGCTGATGCCAGCTTGCTCCTGTCCCCAGGCTTGTCCTCCAGACAGTACACGATAGGTATCCTTAGGCATGGTGCCTGTGGGCAAAACATTGCTGATATTCATCTGGGCCTTCTTGCTGCAATACACAACCTGTCCAATGTGTATCCCCTCTACAACAGTGAATAGACCCTCTTAAATCAGTAGGGATCACAAAAGACCACTTTTACGAGGGGAGCAGTACGACAGCCAGGGTCATGTCACCAGGCGGTGGTGGCGCACACCTTTAATCCCAGCACTTGGGAGGCAGAGGCAGGCGGATCTCTGTGAGTTCGAGACTAGCCTGGTCTATAAGAGCTAGTTCTAGGACGGCCTCCAAAGCCATAGAGAAACCCTGTCTCGAAAAACCAAAAACAAAAAAGAAAGTATATATATATCCACATCACTCAGCAAAGTCCACAGTATGCAGTGCATGATGTCCTTATGGTGTTTCTTGTGTGGGGAACACAGAACTGTTGTCTTTCCTCTGTCCTTGGATCACACGGCCCATGGCAGTGATGGCCCTTGCAGGCGAGTCTGCCAGCAAGCATGGCTGAAAGATTGTTTTTTTTAAGATATGGGCTTACTGCGTAGTTCTGGCTGGACTTGAACTCACAAAGACTCAGCTGTTTCTGCTTCCTGAGTGCCAGGATTAAAAGTGTGCACCACCATACCCATCCCCAGCAAGGAATGTTTAAAACCTGTACTTATAGTGTATTTGTTGTAAATTATAGTCTAGCAAAGTGAATTTTCCTTTTTGAGTATACTTATGAGGTATATTTTGTTGTCTGTGGCGAGCCTAAAGCTTGTTATCGTGAAGACCTTGGGAGAGCAGCGTATGGCTTCTGATACGTGTGGAGTACTTCCTGTGCCATCCATTAATTGCTCATTCCTGGAGGAGAAACCCTGTCGATCATTGTGAGCCATGGCCATGTTTGCTGAAGGCGAACTAGTGAGCTTAGAAAATAGCAGCCACAGTGCCCAGAAAAGAGGGGACTCACCCCTCACAGCTCCTGGGCTTACTCCCGGCCAGCAGAGTCAGGTGGCTGGGTGACATGCCAGAGAAGACTATGGCGATCAGCTCTGGCCTCAGCCGGAGTGTGACTCACCTGAGGGAATACTCAGGTCACATGTAGAAAACATCTCTTATTTCAGATGTAAAGAACAGCAGGAATGTAGGCACGTGCACTCTCTCATGCAACAAGCTAGATTAATCTGGGGTGGGCGGGGCCCAGGAGAATGTCAGTAATGTCATTCATTATCCAACATCCCTTTTCTCTTCAGCCCCACCACCCAGTCCCAGATAACTCCCAAATGGATCTTGTCCCCAGGGCAGTTTCTATAGTCCCCTTTTTGGAAAGGCCTTGATGCCTCAGGTTTTACTTGGCTCCTGGTACCATTTCCAGTTGAAGGTGGTTAGTCCATCGTCCAAGCATCTTAGCCTGTGTATAAACCCCTTGTGATCTGGCTTGGCTGAGCCCACCTACCCTCTAACTTCATCACCCGGGTGCCGTAAATCTTTTTACAAATGCTTCCAGACCCCATGATTGACTCTGGCTCTTCACCCAGTTCAGTGTTCCCAGGCCCTGGCTCCTCTCATGCATCTGTGCTGCCCTGTGCTTCTGACTCAGAGCAGGGTTACTGGTAATGCTTGCAGACCGAGTGTGTAGTGTGCATGATTGTAGTCCACAGGAAAGGAAGGATCAGTATGATCTATCTCAGCTGCGTGAAAATGCAAAGGACGAACAGGACTCACATGATGAAGGTGCCTGGAAGGGGAAGAATTTGCTTTTGTTTTTCTCCGGTAGTCTTTCCCTGCGTGGAGGACCTGTTGTCTTAGTGAGAAGGACAGTGGGAGCTTTGCTGCGCCGGCAGAGGCAGCAGGTCTTGTTTACTGCGGTGAGCATAGGATTAGCCTTTTGACAGGTGGAGTGCTGTAGTACAGAATTTATTAGGAAATAATTTGGACTTATGAGCTGCTATGAGGATTAATGCAAAGAATGCCTGCGTATCCACCACCCAGGTTATGAAGCAAAACATTAACGAGAGAGCTGAAAGCTTTTAGTCCTTGTCCCCAGTTATGTTTGTCACTCATGGAACCTTAGACACTTTTAAGTGACATATGCATAGTGTATATACCAGGTGGTTTTTATTGTAAATTTTACACAAACTAGAGATACCCGGAGAGAGAAAACATCAGCTGAAGAATTGCCTTCATCAGCGTGGCTCACGGGCAGTCTGTGGGGGCATTTTCTTGACTCCTAACTGATGGAGGAGGGTCTTGCCCACTGTGGGCAATCCCATGCTTAGGGAGGACCTGGGCTGTATAAGAAACCAGCCTGAACAAGCCAGGGAGAGAAAGCCACTAAGCAGCATCCCTCCATGGTTTCTCCATGGGTTCCTGCCTCCAGGTTACTGCCTGCAGTTCCTGCCTTGGTTTCCCTGGATGATGAACTGTGACCTGTAAGCCATTAACCCTCTCCTCCACAAGTTGTTTTTAGTCGTGGTGTTTATCACTGCAACAGAGTAAATTAGAGCAGTGTTATACAATTGATGCATATTTCTGCTTTTATTTTTTACTCTACTGATTATGCAGATTCTTTCCTTTTTTCTTTGGCGGTATTACCGCTTTCTACCTATGAGATTTATCTAGAGTGTCTGGATCTATACATGTTGTTTTAGTTACTGTTTTAATTAATTAGTAGTAGTTAATTAGTCCATGCTAATCAATTTTTATTGCAGTATCTTATTCTGATTTATGTATATTGCTGGTGGGTAGTCAGGTTGTGTCCGTTTTTTCTTTCCACATTCTTTAAGGCTGACTAAGGGTGGGATTCTGGGTCACTAAGAAAAATACATCTTCAATTTAGTTAAAATTTGCAAGCATATCCCCTAAGCTTATTTAATTCATTCCCTCTTTTTTTAGTATTTTAAGATTTTTTATTTTATGTGTATGAGTGTGTTGCCTGCATGTATGTCTGTGCGCCTTGCGTGGTTAGTACCTACAGGGGCCAGAAGAGGGGGTCAATCCCCCAGAACTGGATGGTTTTGAGCTTTCATGTGGGTGCTGGGAACTGAACCCAGGTCCTCTGCAAGAGTAACATTTGCTCTTAACCACTGAGCCCCTATTCCATCCTGAATAAGAAGCCGTCTTCACAGCTCAGTCTTCGATGTGTTAGTTTATATCAGTGGCTCCCAACCTGTGGGTTGCGACCCCCTTTGGGGGCAAATGACCCTTTCACAGGGGTCTCCTGGCAGATATCCTTCATATTAGATGTTTGCATTATGATTATGATTATGATTCATAACAGCAAAATTACAGGTCTGAGGTAGCAATGTAATGATTTTATGGCTGTAGGTCACCATAACATGTGCCGAAAGGTCTCGGCATTAGGAAGGTGGAGAACCACTGGTTTCTATGAACGCTTCAGGTGGAACAGATCAAAGATAATGTTTTGCCCAAGACGGAAGATTCCCCTTTGAACCTTACCCCTGTGCTCAGTGTATGGAGCCAGGAGGCCAGCTTCACGTCCACGAAATGTTCCTTTTCATGTAGACCAGAAAAGGAGTTAGGCCATATTCAGTAGGTTGCTCAGAATCTCCTTGCAAGATTTTTTTTTATTGAGTTTTATTTAACTGAAGAGCATTTCTGATTATTTTTAGGACCTGGATGGCTCACCATGGAACCATCAGTTGTGTGAATATTTGAACTAGTGAATAAATGAGTGGAACACTAGAACCAAATGGAACGATAAAACGTAATAGGATACGATTAAAGTCAAATTAGCGTCCCTGAGCTGAAATGTTAAGGATGGAGGCCTGGTGGGAGGAAGGCCCTCGTATTGATTTGCTGTGAACCTGGCTGGAGGCCACGATGACATCTCACTGTACCCGTGCTGCTGTCTTGGCTCTGTTTTTTCATTACAAGTTCACAGTCTGAGGCGGCCTAATGCGCTTCTCTGGCACGTGACCTGAGCAGCAGTCACGTTGGAGGTTTGCTCCTCGCTCACTGTTGTCAAAGATTGGCAGTTGAGTTGGTTTCCTGCACTCAGTGTACCACATGACAGTCTTCTGTGTGGTGTTTGCCAACAGCCCCTGCCTCTGTGGGATACTCGTGGCTGGTTTCCTGGAGGATGCCACCCAGTCCTTTCGAAGTAGAGCAGGAATTGTTGCCTTGCATATTTGAAAATCCTTGTGACCTCATGGGACACAGACAGCCACTTTTAAGTATCACCATAAAAGGCCATCCAGAACATTCTTGAAATATTGCATTATTAGTTTGCTAAGGCTGCTGTAGTTTAGATATGATGCATTCACTCAAAAGCTATAGATTGAAGACTTGGTCACCAGTCCCTGGCACCATCAGGAAGAGGGGAGAAGCTGGGTGACTGGGGTCATGTCCTTTAGGGATGTTGGGACCCTGCCTTCTTCTTGCCTTTCTCTGTTTCCTAGACTTCAGTGAGGCTAAGAATAGGCCCTGTGTTGTGTCTGCTGCTTTTGTGCTCATGTAACCACAGTCCTTTGCAGAAACAGTTTATAGGAGGGAAGGTTTATCCGGGCTCCTAGTTTCAGAGCAGTTTCAGACAGACAGACAGGAGAGCTCTTAGTGGTGGGACTATGCAGAGCCTCCTGAAATCACAGCCAACCAGGAAGCAGAATGTGGGCCAGGAGCCAGGGACCAGGGGTAACTGTCAAAGGCTCTCCCTAGTGACCTGCTTCTGCAGGCAGGCTCAACCCCATCATAAAGGTTCCACAGCCTGTCACAGGGGCAGTGACAGTGGGACCATGCTTTCAGAGGAGCCTGTGAGGGACTTTCTGAATCTGAACCTCAATGGGCACACTATGTATCACACAGTCCATTCCATGACGCACTGCACTGTGGTCCTAAAAACCACAGAGCCAGGTGAGCATGTGTGGGGACCACCAACACTTGAACCAAAGGAAACTTTTGCTTCCTATAAATTGTTTGTGTCGGTCTTTTGTCATACAACAAAATGGTTTGTTATCGCAGAATTTTGGAGTCTAAAATCCGTGATGAAGCAGTCTGCAGGATTGGCTCCTGAGGACTGTGGGGGAAGACCTTCTTCAGGCCATCTCTTGGCTTTCACACCGTCTTTCCAATGTGGGTGTGAGTGTCCAGTTTCCCTTCCTCTATGAGGACAGTAGTCATACTGGGTTAGCCTCTGTAATGACTAGTGACCTCAGTTTAGCCCGATGACTCTGGGAGACTCAACTTCAAACAGGGTCATGCTCTGAGGGCTAGAACTCAACACATACCTTTTGGAGGGGGCACAGTTCACCCCATAGCATAGTGTAGCATTATGTTGGGACCATTGGAAAGTCACTGGGTGGTGTGGCAGGTTTGCTTTGCAGATGCAGGGGGAAAGTTGTATTTTATTTCCTAAGGCTTGGTTTAGTACAGTGAGCTTGTTTGCTTGACACTTCTAGGAAGGAAGTTTTGAACGTTGTTTAAAAGTAGAGAAGATTTTTGTTCTAGAGTTATATAAATAAAAATTTCTGGGATTGGTGAAGTGACTCAGTGGTTAAGAGCACTGGTTGCTCTCTCAGAAGACCTGGATTCAGTTCCCAGCATCCACATGACGGCTCACAGCTGCTGTAAGTCCAGTTCCAGGAGATCTTATGCCCCTTCTGGCCTCTGTGGGTACTGCATGCACATACACACATGCAGGCAAACACCATACACAAAGAATTAAAAACGTATAGACTTTTCCCTTTAGAGCTTATTGCTTGAATGCTTGCCTTAAAACTGTGGTTTTATGCTGGGTGTTGGTGGTGTACGCCTTTAATTCCCGCACTCAGGAAGCAGAGGCAGGCTGATCTCTGTGAGTTCGAGGACAGCCTGGTCTACAGAGCAAGTTTTGAGACAGTTTCCAAAGCCACAGAGAAACCCTGTCTCAGAAAAAACAAACAAACAAACAAACAAAAAACCAACAACAAAAGCAATCTGTGCGCTTATACTTATGTTCAAGTTTATTTTAATCACTGTTAAAAAAACAACTTGAGAACTTTTTGTTTGTTTGTTTTAGACTTGAAAGAAATTGTGTTTGTCATCCAGAGTCAAAGTAATCCTTTTCATGTCAAGAGAGCGGAGCAGCTGAGAAGGAGCATCTTACAGCAGGCTGCGAATCTGACGCAGGTACGCAGAGAAGGCCCAGAGCATCCAGGGGTCGTTATGTATGTATTGAGATCTTTATGTTTTCCTGAATCTGTAGAAAATCAATTTGATTTAGGTAAGAATAACTCTTTGGACTCTCTGTACTGATTTAATGCTGATTATTGCTGAAAGTGTTGTCTGATGGTTTGGATATATTTAATTACGAGAGTTATGTAATTTATAGAACTACCATGGCTTTGTCATGTTAGAATAAAGTGGAAGAAATAATGCTTTATAATAGATAGAGATAATTAACATGCAAACTTTTGACAACAAGTTCTAAGGCAATTTTCATGTTGAAATAACATTTTCATTAATCTTACCATAACGCTCCCTCTATGAGTCTCTTCCTGTGGTTTTCTTTTTTAATTGGATGCTATTAATTGAACCTTTGATCTGATTTATAGTGTAATATCTCAGGATTATGGAGAAAAAATATACACACACAGTTATATTTTGATGACATTTGAAAGAGGTGTGAACTGAATCTCAGGTTGTTCTGAATAATGTAGGTGGTTTGAACAGGCTTCACCTTCTTGTAGGTCATTCTCTTTATGTGGTGGGGACATAGTTCAAGCCTCCTAGTGGATATCTAAAGGTGGACCCCGATTCTGTTTGCCATGTTTTCCCCATAAACACATACACAGCCCTGTATCACCTAATATAAAATTAATTTATAAGCTAAGCGCAGTAAGAGACTAATAGTATCTAAAAGCAGAGTAGTCAGAACAGTATGTTGTAATGGAGTTGTCAGCATGCTACCATGATGCTTTGAATGAAAACCAGGGACACTTGAATGCAAGCACTGTACTGTGACAGTAGTCAGCTCCATACCTGATGTGACTGCTAGTCACCAGTGGGTGAGCATAAACTGAGGATGTCCTGGACACAGACCTGATGGGTGTCCTGCAGAGCACTGACACAACACAATATTTACCATATGTCTCAGAATAGCACACAGTTTTAAGGCCGACAGTTATGTATGGAATTTTCCATGTATTTTCAATCACAGTTGACCTTGGGGGGCTGAGACCGAAGATGGGGAGATCTGCTGTCCCGTCTGTCGATGCTTTCTTCTTTTTCTCTGTCTTCTCTTCTTTCCTCTGCCTCCTCTACTTTCTCCTCCTCCCCTCTTTTCTCCCCCCTCTTTTCCTTTCTTTCTTCTCCTCTCTTCCTTCTCCTCTTCCTCTTTCTATTTCTTTGCCCCCTTCTTCCTTTGAGACAGGGTCTCACTATGTAGCCCTGGCTGGCTTGAAAGTTGTTATAGAGATCAGGCTGGCTTTGAACTCACAGAGATCTGCCTACCCCTGCCTCCCGAGTGCTGGGATTAAAGGTGTGCACCACCAGCATGGCTGGCAGACAGTTTCTTCTTTAAGAAGCCCCTCCCACACCCTACCTCCAAGTCCCCTTTGTCTGCATCAGTTGCCTTGGTCCTCAAGACTGCCCCTCTGTGCTGTCTCTTGCTTATCTCTGTCTGCTCCACTGGAGGAGCTGATGCCAGGCAGGGTTGGGTGCCACAGGGAGAAGGGACCACTAGTGGCCCGAATAATCACTCCTGGGCTCAGGCAACCATGAACTGAATGAACTCCCCCAGTCAGACCTTGTGATGACCCCAGACATGCTGAGACTGAATCACTTAACGCCTGTGGGAACCGCGGGCACCCGTCTCCTTGTGTCCCTGCCTGTGCCCTGTTCCCAGAGGCAAATTTGTGTTTGTACAGTCTCTGTCTTTTTAAACGGTGCTATGGTTCTTGTCAATAACATGGATGACACCCTGTGCAAGCCCAGGTGATGGAATTCTCTCCATATTTCTCTTCTGTGTGTCCACTCCCACCCTCTTGTTCGTTCTCTCCATGTCCCGGTGCGCGTGCATGCGCGTGCACACACATGGACGTGCACGGGTGCAGCCGGCAGTCTCCCTGGCACTGTGTAGCAGGGCAGTGCTCCTGGGACTTGGCTCATAGTGATGATGAGATCTCTGGGTACCTGCTGATGGGAAGCCATCTTCTGGCCCCTGAGGGTAACTGCGCTAGTGTGACATAATCCATATAAGCACACACATTGGTGGTAGAGGGTGAGCTTTGCTGCCTTCCAAGGCCTGCGACTACAAGCAGGTACCACCACGCCTGGATTCACTCCACGTCTGTGTCGTGTGCAAACCCAGTGTATTCTGTCTAGTGTGTGCTATGGCCTGTTACCTGTTTATTTCTCTTCCACAGATTTTGAAAGCAGAGAACAGGTTGAATCCCATTAACTTGATTACCCAGAACCCAGCTATGTTTGTATGGCTTATTCTGACTCCCCCAGACTCATTCCCTTCTCCGAGTTGCTTTCTTTTCTGTTGTAATAGATGTTTCTTTTCTTTTAAAAGCAACTGTAAAAATATTTGTCTTATTTTATGTCTGAGTGTTTCATCTGCGGGTGTGTCTGTGTATCACATGCAGAGGCCAAGAGAGGATGTCAGATTCCCTGACACTGGACCTACAGAGAGTTGTGAGCCTCCATGTGGGCACTGGGAACTGAACCTCTGCAAGAACAGCCAGTGCACTTAATGGCTGAGCCATCGCTCCAACCCACAAATGAATATCTCAAGGGCACAGTTAAGTCAATCAGGTATACTCCTGTTGGCAGTGCATCTCTGGAGCCCCTTTATTCCATAAAACTATACTGTGAACCTCTAAACAACTCTCTGCTCCCCCTTTCCTGTATCTCCCAGTAACCATCATCAAACTTCCAGTCTCTGAATATGACTGCCATGGGTATCCTAGATGGGGGAGTCTTGGAGTAGTGGTCCTCTGGGAACTGGCTTGTTTCACTTAATCATGATTTTAAGGTTCCTTTGTTCAAAAAGAATGGCTGGTAGCTGGAGAAATGGCTTAGTGGTTAAGAGCACTGGCTGCTCTTCCAGAGGACCTGGGTTCTATTCCCAGCACCCACATGGCAGCTCACAGCCATCTGTAACTCTGTTGCCAGGAGATCTGACACACACTTCTGGCTTCTGGGGGCACTACATGTATGTGATTCGTAGATTTACAGGCAGGAACAATCCACATACACATTAAAACAAAGCGAAGAAAAAAGAGCTGTCAGTATTTTTGTTCAAGCTAGTGACCTCAGTCCAGTGTGATGGAAAATTTCATCTGTAGATACATTGTTCCTGCTGTTCTGACTGGCATCCTGCCAAGGCCTTGTCACGGTACCTCTTGTCCTGGTGTCTATGTCCTACATTCAGATATCAGAGCAAGGCAGGACCCCTAGCCCAGTACTTACTGGAATGCCAAATACTATATTAGAGACTGTATTAAAAATCTGATGCATTGTCTCAGATTTTTAATCTCGGGATAAGCTCCATTTGTGTGAAGCATTTGGCTCTTTTACTCTTTGCATCTCTGTAGTTTTAAAGTTTATGTTTAATTTTTATTGTCTTTTCGTTTACATCCTCAGAGAATTAGGACACTGATGGCCACTAGGTGGCGATATTGGTTTTACATTTATAGAGGTGTAATTAAGTAATGCCATTAAGTAACCCAGGCCCCCAGCGTTTAATTTCTGTGATAGGAAATAGAGTCTAAAGTGATAAAGACACCCCTCCTTCTAACTATGGGATCAACTGTAACTGTTACCCTGACATCGCATCCCCAGTGGAGCTTAGCTGTGAGTCTGGAGAGAACAGATCTGTAGGATGCACACTTGGCTTGCTGGGGAGTGCGCTGTATACCCTAGGCAGGTTCAGCTGTGGATTAGCAAGGCTTTGTCAGTCGAAAGATTGCAGAATCTGCAGCTATGCTTAGTCCTGGATCCCTTTCTCTTTATGCAGCGTTTTATCTCTCATATGGGATTAAAACTTTGGTTTAATTCCTCAAATGGCACCCTGGGTATTTAAAAATACCCGACAGCTAGCACTGGGTGTGTAGACAGTTCTTGGGGTTGGAGCAGTGATGAGACACTTTGCCTTGGGGCTCTCTGAGCACTTGAGAAAGGTTATTTTCTGAGAATTAATTGTTGAGTTGTACCAATCAAGCAAGGAGCCTTATATAGCAGGAACGCTCCCTAGTTGAAATCAAACTGGAAACTGTCTCAAGGAATTGACATACTTTTGCGAAAGTGTTGACAGCTCAGCCTGCCTCAGAGCCTTGATAGGGGAAGTAGGAAAAGCTGTCAGTCTCGCCAGGATGGTGGTGGAGGCGTGCAAGGGCCTCGGATAGTGGCAGCCCAGGGAGGCGGTATGCGCAGGCCTATGATGGATGGGTTGGGGGTACTCTCCCAGGACCTGAGCACGAGGCCTTTAGCTTACAGTGTTAGTTTCTCACAATGCCGTCTGAGATCCTTCCTAAAAGTTGCCCCGTGAGGGGCAATCAGCTGTTAGCTCTTGTCATTTGAATATTTATCTGATAGCTCAGAATATTTGTGCCTTCCACAGTAGCAGAGTCCCAGAACTGCTGTTTATTTATTCATCACTCCCGTCAGATTGCGTGCTACTCTGAAGCCTGCCAAAAACATCAAGGCACAAAACCAGAATTGGCTCCGGGATTACGAGTCTCCTTCTAGCTGCTCTCTATGCAGTGGCAGGCGGTACCGGGGCCTGCTTTGCCTGAAGGTGCTGAAACATGGTCGTATTAAAACCACAAATATTTCTCATTATTGCAGTGTGAATAAGAAATAGGTGCTTGCACCCACTCAATGTGAAATTTAGCAGTGTGCTCCTAGTGGCTGCTGGAGGGGCAAAACTATTTTTCGTGTGTGTTCTAGAATATTCCCGCTTGAAGCGTGATGTGCAGGTTATAGTCATTTTGACGTTTCTAATTTTATTTTTTGGCTTTGGTTTTTGAGAGGGTTTCTTTGTGTAGCCCTGGCTGTCCTAGAACTTGCTCTGTAGACCAGGCAGGCTGGCCCCTAACTCACAGAGATCACCAGCCTCTGCCTCCTGAGTGCTGGGATTAAAGGTGTGTGCCACTATCTCCCGGCTGAAGTTTTTTTTTTTT